CAGTTAGCAAAAACAAAAAGCAGACACCCTCAGGCCAGAGCTGGGCAAGAAAGCACTATGCAAATGTGTTCATCACCCTGCCAATCGGCCTATGCCCGCTCCCTTACCCAGGCAAATCTGCCCGTGCATGCCTTTACAATGATCAGAAGAGATCTGTTCCAAAACTATATGTGATAACAAACAGAAAATCAGGGCCAATGCAAAAAAGGATTGAGAAAATACTACTAACAGCAAGGGTTCCCATGGTTGCTGTGACTGAGCTAAAATCTGGAACTTAACTTCCTATAGCTAGAACAAAAAAGGAAACGACTCTCATTATAGAAGTTCCTCTTTACAGATTTCTTATCACCTCTAAGGCAGTGCAGTGATTTAACTGCTGTGAGAAATCAGATTTCATTTATTTAAATGCCCGGCTCCTCAATTAAGAAAGATACTGTATATACTGACAATCTTTAAGTCTTAATGATTTGGTCAAAAACACAGCTACATTGCTAGTTACGTATTTTTCTACAGTTAACCGCCAAATCAGGCAAAGAGACACTAACACTTTTTCCCCCAGAAAGAACTATGAGGAAATAAACTCAAATCTGGGATTATTAATTTCAACAAAGAAAAGTATTACAGGTTGTAAATTACTCACTGAACTTGACTGAGGCGTTAAGCATGCATAACCACTTAGAAGGTGGTTATTTGAAAACTCCAACAAATTGCAAGAGGTATTACAGAACAGACAAAAAATTCTCAAGGAGGCAGTGAAAAGGAAAAAAAATCACAGAAATTTGCTGTTCTTGTGAATACTTTTCAAAGTTTTGGAAAATAATTAGATGTTACTGCATCAGCTCTGTAACATTAGGTGTCAAATTAAGAAGATCTTTCCAAATCTCACTCCACCCAAGTCCCTGCCTGTGTCACCTCACCAGTGGCCTTCCCTGGCCACCTCTCCAAGTGGCAGCCCCACATTGCTCTTTCCTCTCCAAGGCACGGACCGGAGCACAGGCTGCACTGGAGGAGGTCCACCAGCTGTGCCGTGTCCCCAGGGACTTAGGGCACTGACTGGCATCTAGTGGCACAGCTGCTTTTCAGTGAAAGAACAGATACAGTCTTTCTCTGCTCTAAAGGTCAAAATATTAGCGTCAGTGAAGCAGTCTTTCTTCAGTGCGAAGAAGCAGTAATATGTAATACATATATATTTTATATGTAAATATAAAATTCTAGAAGTTATTTAAGAATATATATAACCTTCAACAAGCAATGCATAAGGGTGTAGGACTTTATCATTAAAGTCAGTAACCAATTATACTAATTCGCAAATAACACTGAGGAGATAAGGCACAGTCGGGAGGTCAGGTTCAATTCCTGGTTCCACTCCGCTGCATAACCTCTCTTTGCCTCAGTTTCATCTTACATAAAATGGGGATAAAAATGTACCTACTTCAGTGTTGTACGGATTAAATAAGAATGTAGAGTTCACAAGTTGAAAACTTTCGTTCATTATTTCTTCTCACAATTCCAAATTAAGAATAGGGCAAAGGTAACAAGGAAAATTTCTTTTTATTTGGTGAATATGTACATTAAGGCATTTTTTTTTTCTTCTAAAGAGTAAGGTTATTTTTCGCCACAGAAAAGCAGAGCGACAGTGATAAGTTTACGGGTATACATGCTTTCAAATGCAAAGCGCAGTTAAAATGTGTCGCAGGAGACCAAGCAGGGGCCGTGGGGGGCAGTCAGGGTCAGGCGGAGACCACGGCCCGGGGGGCACCCGCACTAGCCATCCCTGCTGCTGGACCCTGGTGGGGCTGCGCCCACCGACATCAGCTGCTCCCTGGGCTGGGTTCCACGCGTGGGCGGGCTGCGCAGCGTGGCCGCGGCCAGTGCGCTATTCAGATGGGCAACCGCCAGCTGCTGCCTTTGGCCCCGCACACACCCATCTATCTTAAGAGGAGACATGTAGGGCTCAGCAGCAGTGCTCAGACCTGGACCCAGGCAGGCATCGACGCGCCCACGTGAATCTGAACGCCGTGGGAAGGTTTCTGAAAGTGGCCGCGTTACGGTGTCTGCCCTCCGGACAGGGACCGGAGGACAGGGGCGGGCTTGTGGACGCACAGACCAGCAAGTGCCAATGACAGTGATGGGCGAGGACAGGTCTGTCTGATGCTGAAGAACTGCGTGGCTTGGGATCCTGACAGTAATCTAGACCCTTATGTTGATCATAGGTCAGTGGTTAGTTGTAAATCCTGAATGTCTTCCTACCTCTGTTCTTCTTAGGACAGAGAGGGACTAGGGCAGGTGCCAGGGGTCCAGCTTCTACCTACTTGTCCAGGATAAGGAGGGAGAAGTGAGAGATTCCAGGAGCCTCCACCACACATTCACATACTACAGCCAGTAAAGCCATGGAAAACAGCCAGAGCCCCAAGTAGCACAAGCAGTTGACTCCGCGGCTGATGACAACAGTGGCAAAGCCACTGTAGCACCTGTCAGCAGCTACGGGACATCCATGTCAGCCAGGGAGGCTGTCTGAAAGGCCCATGCCACTTCTTTGCAACAGCACATTTTAAATTCCAAGCTAAGAAAAGAAGTACTACATGGGAGAAATAAAAAGAAAATTTAAGCGTTAAAATAAGTTATCCTTAAAGCCTCATAGTAGTTAGTGTTCACCCTCTGAAGCAGAGAACATTAGATGACGATCTCTGTATGTGAGGGGATTGGAGAAGGGGCAGGACGAGTCCTCCAAAGGCCCAGCTTATGAAAACCGACCTCTGTCTTCATCTGGAGGGGAGAGCACAGGTCAGAGCGGGCACACCTCCGCCATCATACGCCTGATGCCACAGTGTGAATTGAGCCTGGATCTCTAATATCAATTGATTTGTATCTTCCATTGTCTAGCATCTGGGTCTCCTATAGCCAGTGAGCATCGCACGACCGTAGGAGGGAAGAGGAAATGAAGACCTATATAATACATACTATTTGATAGTAAATACTGCGGACATGCTTCCCTAACTACAACCACTTAGTGTTGAAGATAGAGTTTTACCTGGAGCCTAACCACCTGGGCCCCTTGCATAGCTGTGGGACTTCAGCAAAGTGATGACTTCCCTGGACCTGGGTGTGACCTGAGACAAGGAACTACCATTCAGTGGGGTAGTTTCAGGTGTTCTGATAGACTAAGCGAAGGAGGTAATCAACCCCAAGTGCTTGCGACAGCACGGGGCACACAGCAAGCACTCAGTATGTGTTAGCTGCTTCTCATTTTCCTCACAGAACTCCTGGGAAGAAAAGAGAAGCCTGTAATTAGGCAATACCATCTTCGATTTACAGACAAGACAATTTTGCAAAGACAGGCAATTAACTTGTTCAGAGTCAGTGGAAGCGACAAAGGTAAAAGCCATGCTTATCCCACTATACAATGCTGGCCCTGCGACACAATAGGTCACATACCCCTCTGTCAGTGAGACTTCCTCAAGGAAGTCAGATTGTGCTAAAAGGAAATCAGACAGTGTGTGCTAATCCTGACATCTCATCTCAGCTAAAAAATACTATTGTCTTCCAGGTACAAAATGCTGAAGAACACTGCTGTTGGGCCATTAAAGGAACTTCATAAAAGTGAGTCGGGTGGACCCAGACCTTTTAAAAGCAAAGCGAGCCTTAAGGCAACTCACACAAGGGAAGGGGGTAGGGAAGGGAGGGAGGGGACTGAAGGGTTAAAACACCCACTACAGAACTTCAAAACAGAAACATACACACGTATTTTGCCCTTGTTGCGTCTGTCATGACTTATTAAACTGAGGCCAAAGGCGCCGTCTTCGTGAATGAACTGCCAGTTCCACTACGCACACAGCCCTGGCGCTTACAGGAGACTCCAGGCCTGCGGGGCCCTTTTTACCTTGTGGGGAAACACCTGACAGATCACAGGTCAATCTTAAACAACCGGAAGCAAGATTTAACGAGCAGATAAAACGGGCTTGCTCTTTCGTTCCCTTCCTTCTTCCAGGAATGGAATTTTCAGAGGCTGTGTTTAATACGAGCCATCAGCCCGGGAAGTCAGGAAACCGGATTTCCAGGCTTAACGGGGGCCAGGTATCCCCGCTCCGGGCGCATCCTCCTCCGTCCCTTGGTGCCCCTCCTCGTTCCCACGGCACCCGCGGAAACCGGGGCGGGAACGGGGGCTGCCCCGGCCACCTGCCATCGCCTCCATCACCTTCTTAATAGTTGCGAGATTTCCGAGGAGGCCACCCTGGCCCCGACAGCACGCTGTCCGCTCTTGTCTCTGCTCACCGCCTTCCCCGAGGCGGCTAAGGGAGGAGAGGGCGCAGCGGCGGGGATGCGAGCGGCGGGGCACCTCGCAGAGCCAGCTCGCGCAGGAGCACACGCCGCGGCCGCCGTCGGAGGGGCCCGGGCGGCCCGCACGTCGGCCCCGGGGCTCGCAGCCCCCACGGCCCCGCCAGCCCCGCGGCGACCCGGACGCCCGCCCGCCGCCGCCGCCCACTCACCGCCGCACTCGGCCGAGTACTGGTCCCCCCAGTCCCCGGACTGCGGGCTGCAGCCGCCGCCCGCCGGGGCCTCCTGCTGCTGCCGGTGCTGCAACTCCTGCTTGAGCAGGGACAGCGGCGTGTAGTGCTCGGTGGCCAGGGCGCCCGGGCACGGCCCGGCGGGCAGGACCCCCAGCAGCAGCAGCACCAGGACGCGCCGAGCGGCGCCGGCGGCGGCCACAGCGCCGCCCCAGCAGCAGCCGCAGCAGCAGCAGCAGCAACAGCAGCCGGCAGGTGCCATCTTTCCTCAAAGCGCATGTGCGACTGCCCTCGCCGGCGCAGCGGCCTCCCGGCCTTAACCCGCGGCTGACAGGTGGGCCGTGGAAAAGGGGCGGGGAGAGGAAAAACAGCATTGCCTGCTGGGAGTTGTAGTCCCGACTGGCCCAGCCTCGGGGCCCTTTCCCGGGGTTGGGACTACGAATTCCAGCAAGCACCGCGCGGCGCAGACCTTCCGGTCTGGCGTCTGACGTATTCCCCGACACTGAATCGGAAGTGCTGGACTCAACTGCGTGGAAATGGACACTGGTGAGCTGGGTGGGCTACGGCCCCGCAAGGGGAATCCCGAGGGGGTGACAGCGGGAAAGGTGAACACCGAAGAGGTGTCAGCGACTCCTGCTGCCGCTGCCTCGGCCTCCTGCCAGTACAGGTGTATCGAATGCAACCAAGAGGCCAAGGAGTTGTACCGAGACTACAACCACGGCGTGCTGAAGATAACTATCTGCGTGAGTTGTCAGGTGTGGGGTGTCCTTGGAAAGAAACTGATGTGGCGAGATTTGGGGACCAATCTGTACCAGTTATGGGGGATGATAGAAATCGAGTTTCAGGATCTTCTCGTACAGTCTTCAGATAGATGCTCGACAGACTCGTCCTAGGTCTGCCAGACCTTTGCATGAACACCTGTGGTGCTAGAGAGCTCGCTGCCGTGCACTGCTTTTCTCATACTGGTCACGTTTGTTGGTGAGACCTAACCCGGTGAACGGATCCTCGGGCGAAGATGGGTGTGAGTGTTGTGCATAGAAACTTAAACATTGGATTAGGTTGACATTTGGATCCACGCCAAAGCGCTTTTATTTTTAGATATTCTCCCCTTGATAGACAAGAGTTAACCATTTTTACCTCCATAATCCATATTAAATTTGCACGAGATACTTTTTTTCAGGTTTCACCCATTGTGGTTATTGAATGTACAGTATTGTGTACAAAGCGCTATGCTAGACGTTGGAATAAAAAAACCAAAAACAAGGAAGTAAAAATTCTGCTCCCAAAGTGTTCATAGTCTATTTATAGAGCGTAACCTTTCGTTGCAAAAGTCACAAAGTTGGAGGCATTAGCAAAGAACCTGTCCCATGATAGGCAGTCAGTATGTTCTTGTCCTGTTTCTGATCTGCTGGTGATTAGGGGGGAGAAAGCCCTGTAGTTATACACAAGGGAGTAGACGAAAGTGTGACAATGTACCTATTTATTGTCCATTGGTATAAACACTCAGGTGCATGTACCTCAATTTGTTCCTCTCACAGGTGGTTTCCCCTCGTTTGGAAAAATTTCAGTCCTGGTTAAATGTGTCCAAAACACGCACGTTTAGCAGGAATTGCCGAGGGCCCAGGAAGCCTTGATTCTGATAACCTAGAACCAGGCTGCACAGCCCAGCTCCGTGCAACAGCCCGCATTCGCCAGCGGGTCTCCTGCAGCAGAGACATATTCTCAATGTTATTGGAGGAAAAAAGGCATCTCTTGGTGCCGGCTGCCCCAGGATTGTTGGCACTGGTGCCGCATTCTTTACCCACTTGCAGCTCTCAGAAGCTCTGGGTGCAGGCCTACTCTTCTGAACCCTTTTCTGCAAATCATGTTTCAAGAATCACAAAGTTGGGGGCCACCTGGCCAACAGGCAACAATTCATCAATGAAAGTACATTATAAACTTAGAACAATTCCGACAAGTTGAGAGTACAATTTTTCTGGGATACTCTTCTGCTAAAATCAGTCTTTAAATCCCGTATCTTTTTAGCTTCTTATATATGAGATTAAAAGATTAATATTTCTAGCCTAGAAGATTGTATTCAGTCAGTTCTGAAACCATCTCTTGAATAGATGAAGTTTGTATCTGAATGGAAATTTATGTAAATAAATGCTGATACGGCCTTATTAACTGTATGAGTCCAAGACAGACTGCTGTTTTGAAATCCTTTAAGATTTCAGGATGTATGAATTTGCTTATTCTGATACTGTTTTGCATTATTTCAGAAATCCTGCCAGAAGCCTGTAGACAAATATATTGAGTATGACCCTGTTATAATTTTGATTAATGCTGTCTTATGCAAAGCCCAGGCCTACAGGCATATTCTTTTCAACACTAAAATAAATGTAAGTTGTCATTTTTTTCCTAATTTTACTTGATGATACTTTTGCATTTTAAAAGAATAAAAATAATTTTGAAGAGAATTTTTAAAAATCCTAATGAGGGTGGGTTTTTACTTGGTAATGTGTAGAAATTTCTAGAAATAAGCATTGATTGTTGTTGTTTAAAAAGTGCACAGTGTTTAGTGATTATATAAGAATGTGTCTCTGGTAGGAAACTGACAAACCATAATCTGAATTGCTTTTTCATAGCTTATCTTTTGAAACAGGCACCAGTTATTTTTAACAATAAAGTTAAATATATCCAGGTAGGGAGACAATTACACCTGTAAGAAATAATCAAACATTCAAAGAAAAATTTACCTCATTGCGTTTTAGACTCTACTCTTGGGGGAATGCACGAGGTAAATAAGATTGAACTTAATCAGAAAAGTCCTAATGTATAAAGATGGGTTTTTCAAAATATATACTTGGTATATTGAATGGTGACCTCTTTAATAGCTTTGGTTGGACTGACAGATAAAATACAGAATGCCCAACTGAATTTGAATATCAGATAAAAAACAAGTAATTTTTAGTGTATGTCCCAAATATTACATGGAACATGCGTATACAAAAAAAATTTGTTGTTTATCTGAAACTCACATTCAGTTGTGTGTTCTGTATTTTTACTTGCTAAACCTGGCAACCGTAAATTTGGGCTAATATGTACAGTAACTGTGAAATTTATTTATTCCTGTGTCCCTCCCCCAAGTTAAATAACCAGGGCAGTTTTTAAATTACTAGAGCATTGATTCTCAAACTTCGCCGCACATTGGAAAGACCTGGAAGGGAGGGAGGGGGCCATTGTTAATCCTTCCCACTCAGAGCCTCAACCCAAAGCAATTAAATGAGAATCTTTGGGGCTGGGATCCAAGCATCAATATTTCACAAAACCCCAGGGCGACTCTCCCGTGCAGCCAGGAGAGCCCGTGTGCCCGCCGAAGCTCACGCGACAGCGTCCCAGGACTGCGCTGGGTGCGCACGCACCATTTCCACCCTGTCCTGATGAAGTTCAACGCAGAGAGAAATAGACAGGAAGAAAACAATTCTTGTTGCCTAGCATTTTGTTTTTGCTAAAATGTTACACCCTTTAGAATGCCTAGCTTATTTGCACCTTTTACTTGCTTTCAGTATATTAATTTATACTCACCCAGCCTAGAGGTATTCTTTAAAAATCCATGTTCAGACGACCAGTTTCTTATGCAGTATCATGGAATCTTCAGAAGAAATCTTTTCTCTTTTGCTACTTCCACCTACCCACAAGTCATGTACATTCTGTGCTGGATTCTGTCTACAGGACAGATGTTGAAAATTGAACAAAGGGTGAACTTCTATGTAGGGCTGTGATTCTTAACTAGGGGTGCGCATTTAAATCCCCCTTCCTCCAGAACTGTTTCAAAGTGTGTACGTCTCAAACATACTTCCAAAGACTGAATCAGGATTGGGGCCTAGACATTAGTATTTTGGGAAAAAACCTCCCCACGTGATTCTGATAAAGACATTGCTAATTAAGAACCACTGGTGTACAGACTGAATACAAGGACACACTTACATGAGCAATTTGGAATTTGAAAAGCTACTAGATGAGACATTTTTTAAAACCACAAATACTGTACAGACTGTGTCTGTACCTCTTGGTATTAAGTACAATTAGTTCTCCTTTCCCTAATTGAGCGGCAGTGTCTTTCTGACTACCAGATGCACGGAAAACTCTGCATATTTTGTTTGCTTTGTGAAGCGTACCTGAGGTGGTGGCAGCTTCAAGACTCAAGCCAGAACACTGATCCTGATGACTTCATCAGATATGCTAAGGAGTGGGATTTCTACAGAATGTTTGCAATTGCTTCTCTAGGTAGGAACAAGCTTTGTTTTCTATTCTTAGCTAACTAGTACTTGCCCTTGTGATTAAAAATAAGGCGCCTGGTAAGAGGAGCTGGTTAGTATGGGACTTGAGACTTAATTTTCAATTCTACCACTACCCTGCTGAATGAGTTTGTCTAAATTATCTGCTTTCTGCTAAATTATCTGCTATCTTTTTTATTTGTTACCACACCTGTGGAATGGAAAGACCGTCCGATTAAAGGGTCTTTATCCATTAGGGGGACATTATCAGTTTAAAGAGCTTCATGAAATATTTTGAGACATAATATTGTTGATAAAGTCCTTAAGTTCAAGTACTAATTTTCCAATTTGAACATGACCTGGGCCCCATCTTCACTAAGAGATTAGTAATTGCCAGGTGTTACCCAGTGTATTATACTTACGCAACGTAAGGGACAGTTGTAAGTTCAGGAACTGTTGTGCTTCAGAATTTGAATTTGTGACTCAGGTCAGAATCGTGTTGTATCGATTTCTGTGACTATGTTACTGCTTACTGGCTTCCGTGCTTCCCTGCTTCTAAAATTGTTTGATGATTATGAAACGTCGTCATCCACTCCAATGTCACATTTCTGGACCATGTGTCCTTTTTTTCCCCCCATCTGCTGTCACTCCCTTGGCCTCTCATCCAGCCCTAAGGTTTTAAAATTCATCTCTCTGCTGAGAATTCCCAAATGTATCCAGTAATATTAAAAATGTACTTAAACATATCACATTAGCCTCAGAAGTAAAACTTAATATAATTTTAAGCGTTAAAGCAAAGCCTCTTAAAATTTCTAAAGGTAAACTGCTTTATGGACTCTGTCTATGAATACTTTCTGGAAGGATAAGGAATTGCACTCCACGTTGGTCAAAATCACTAAGGGAAGTTTTTAACGTGGGTGACAGAGCATTCAAAATCTTGTGGATAATAGGCACTCAATACATAGTGGAAGAATGAACAAAGAAAACTGTCTTCCTACATAAAGACGGGCCTGTCTTTCAGATTTCAAACCCTCCGTTCTCCTGTTCATTCTTCCTGTGGGGATCCGGGACTTAAGGTGGTCCAACAGAATCCTGCTTCCGAGAGGGAACTTCAGAACATTGATGATTACGGTTCAGATAGAGTTACATTTTCTTCAGTGGATGGTGAAATACTTCATGAAAAAATAGTTGAAATATATTTCTGAAATTATACCAGGAGGATTTGACACAAAATGCAAAAAAAAAAAAAAAAAAAAGAGTAGGAAGGGAAAGAAATTTGACCTCGATAAAGCATTTCTTAGTGAACTCAACTGAAATGCTGCATTTTTGGGTTGTGGTTTATTCATTTTGATGGGGATATGGTTTTTGTGGAGAGGGACATTCATATTTTTATTTCCCATTTCATTCTTAGAACAAGCTGCCTTTTTAATTGGCATTTTTACTTTCCTGTGGATAGAACGATCCATCACAACCAAAAAAAGACCCAACTTTGTTCTGCTGCTGAAGGCCTTGTTATTATCTAGCTACGGAAAACTCCTGCTGATCCCTGCTGTCATTTGGGAGCATGAATACACCCTGCTGTGCCTGAGATTCATTAAATTATTTGTCCTTACCTCAAATTTTCAGGCAATTAGAGGTATGTTTGTGTGTTATTCTGTCTTCTCAGCTTTGCACACATATAAAAGCTTAGAGCCTTATTTCTGCATCACAGTTTTCATATAACCTGTTAAACACTGGAAATCTCTGTAGAATAATGACAATGCCTAACATTTCTAGAGGGCTTTGTGCGTAGCATATTTCGTATTTGTTCAGTTTAACCACGTGGTACTATTTGGTTTTCAAAAGTTTTCATATGTGTTGTCTCTGTCCTGCGGAGTTAGCAGGGCAGCCATTATTACCTCCACTTTAGCAACAATTCGTCCAAATTTACATGATCGGCATTGTCACGCCAGGGCAGCTCCTACTGCTCCGGGGGCGAGAGGAGCCCCCGTGTGTCTTCGTTTTCCCACACATTGTGAGAAGTGCTATTTTCAATGAGCTGTTACCTGGTACTTCCTATCATAATGCTGTTGTCTGGTGAACCCAACAACCAAGAACATCAGTTTTTTTCTGCTGTTCTCTTTATGACCTTCGAATCTATATTTTATTTTCCCTTCTCATATTAATGGGGATCTGTCTTCATTTCAGGAGTGTTAGTGTTACACGCAAGTGCTTTGTTCCTCTCCAAAGGTGTGCAGCTGGGAAAGAGGGAGGGGGGTCACAGCACAGATTAATAAGAACAAAGAGAGATTTTCTAAAAACAGCTTTACAAAACAATTCCATTCCTCCCACATAATTTACATATCACTTAGTAATCACAATGTCATGCAGTTAAACTCTGAGGAACTTACCAGCTGCCTGTCCCCTCTAGTGACACTGAACATCAGCCGGAAGCTCTCCCTCTGGGCCATCCTGTGCGGCCTGCTGATGGAGAGCACCGTGGTCTACTTCTTCAGGCGGATGGAATGGGACCTCGGCAGTGACTGCGCCATCTATAAAGCGCAGGACTTCTGAAGAGGGACAGAAGCCCCGTAGTGTGCGTGCATTCAGACAGGTGTCCTTCTCAGATGAGACAGATGTCACTGTAAATAACTCGGGCCCTTACGCAACCACCCCTGGCACCGGGTGGCCCCTGGGACGTTAGCACATGGCTCACGGGGTCCTTCCATCCCGTTACCATCCTCAGTGGCATCCACGCCTGTGTCCTCCTTGCACCCAGAGCCCCATTCTCACGACTCCTCTCACACCCGCGGTCCAGCTCAGTCCCGCCAGCATCTCAGACTCTGAAGTCTGTCCCGCCGACAGCTGCTGCCGCCCTTTCCAGCCGTCCTGCTCCTTCCCTTCCGCCATCCCTGCCTTTTGCTGCCATTTTGACATCTAGTCCCGTGACCCCTGATCTCTCCCTCTGCCCTGGCCTCCTCTTAACCACACCCACGGCCTGTGGGCAGTTGCCGAGCTCACCTCCCTTGGTCCCTTGAAGCCCACCGGCCTCTTGCCCTTCTGTCAGACGTGACTCGATAGAGCTGCTTGCGTGAGTCTCACCGTCTGTTTTCTCCGTAAGTCACAGGGAGTGTCGCTTGCTCAGGCCGTCCCTGTGTAGGCACAGACCCTCCGCTGGCCCTCTGCCTCACGGTCACCTCTAGTGTACGCCCCGGCAGGTGACCTGAAATCGTCCCCACGCTCCTTATTCCTGGGCCTGCTCTCTCTCTGCCGAGAATGGCAGCTGTCACTGGGCCCCCGAGCTTCCGTCTTCACATCAGAACTTCTCTGACTGGGTGTCTTCCTTCTGCCCGCCGTCCTGCCTCGGGCGAGCTCAGCTTCCTCTCCAGGGCTCTCCATCCTGTGCGCGGCCTCCGCCCGGCGGTCCCGGTTGGACCCCGGTCACAGCAGTGAGTCGGTGCAGGATCCCGGCGCCCAGAGGCCGAGGGAAACGGGCCGCGGGTGCCCCTGCAGCCCCGTGAGGGAAGGCTCCTTCCTCGTCACTGCTTCCTCGTCTGCCACGTGGTCCTCCTAGATGTGGCTCACCTCTCTCCAGCCTCCCTCCGTGCAGATTCCTTTCTTGGGAGCTTTTCTCTGGCAGTGTCCCTTGTCATCTGTCACTCAGACCCCAGCTCAACCCTCATCGTCTCCTGCTTACAAGTTCACAATGACCTCCTCACTGGCCTTCAGCCCTTCTGGTGCCACATACATCTCCGCCGAGCACCTCTCTGGGGCCCTCCACGCTTCCTACCATTTCTGTGGCCGACGCAGGAGCTTCTCATGTCTCCCTGAGGAGCGTCTCTTAGTTCCTTCCAGGCTTTCGCGCGGTCCTCTGTCCGTCGCATGGTCCCGGTCCCTTCTCCGCAGACCCTTCCTGCCCGGCTCCCCGCCGCAGACCCTTCACCTCAGGCATGTGCTGCGCTCTCCCCGGGGCCGGCGCGGCCCCTCCTCCGCCTGCCCACACACAGTCGGTCGCCTCTGCTTCGCTGTGCAATGAAGGCTTCCCAGAAACTCCTTCGTTGCCCTCCCCGAACCCCGCACCCAGGGCCAGCCACCTCAGCAGCCGGGGGTCCTGAGTCTTCCGAGACTGTCCCAGCGGCAGACACGCTGCCCCATCACGATTTCTGGTCAGGAAAACAGGTCGCCTGCCTTTAGCAGCCGCCTGGAAGCCGTCATCCTCCGTTACGTTCGCTCCGTCATGCCAGACACTGTTCATGTCTGTGTGTGCGCCGGACTCCCCCAAACTGGTTCACAGCTGGTGCCAAGTGAGACCGTGGCTGAGGTCACTCTGTGTCCCCCCAGTACAGGGCCCACCCTAACAAGTATTTGTTGATTTGATTTCAGCAGAATGTGCCATTCCGCATACTCCTTTTATTATCCACAGTTTTATTCTTTACTATTTGTGGCCTGATCAAGCTGCATCTGAAAAAGAGAAGCCAAGTACAACCAAGCTCCTCATTTCTGTTGAGTAAAGTTTTGGATGTACTTCCTGAGAAAGAAGCCATGCTGATGGCATTTGAACCCCCGACCCTACACCCCCTCACCCCCACGTACAGGAAACAACTAAACCACCTACAGATACTCACAGACACACACGGAGACTCACACACACGAGGAATGTTGCTGCAGGGACCGATGTGTGCAACAAGTGAAGATTTATACATTCTAGGTCAGTTCAGGTAAGCATTTAAATTAAGAGAGGAACGGGCATTCATGATTCACTGTAAAAATCTGTCTTTCAGCCCTGGCCAGATAGCTCAGCTGGTTAGAGCATCACCCCAGTGTGCCAAGGTTGCAGGTTTGATCCCCAGTCAGGGCACATACAAGAATCAACCAATGAAGGCATGAATAAGTGGAACAACAAATCAATGTTTCTCTCTTTCCTTCCCCCATCCTCAGTCTCTCCAAAAATCAATAAATATATTTTTTAAAACTTTCATTCCTATGGCATTTTTATATCTTTTAATTTAAATGTTAAGTTACTGGCTTTAATATATTTAAAATATTTTGTATTACTGTAACAGTAGAAAAACTTTTAATAAATTCAGAATAAACTGAGCTTTTTAAAAAATTGTCAACTCAGTACCTTCCTCTGTAACTGTGTTACCTTTCAAATTGGCTGACCCAAAAATAAATAACTAAAAACAACTCAATTGTACACTTTACAAAGGTGAATTCTCTCTCAATGAAGCTGTTATTACATAAATCAAAATTACCTTTCCCCTTTTCTCCCTGTTTCACTCACTAGTTCTTTCACTCATCATTTCTTCATTAGACAGATACTACTGAGCACCTACTATACGTGTGTCAGACACTGAACACTGTGGTGAATTAAGACATTCACATAGAAATGTGAGCAGCTAATTGCATCCAGTGTGGTACAAGCTATAAAGGGTGAGCATAGGGTCCTAGGGAAACACAGAGTAGGAACACCTCTTCCAGCCTCGGACATTGAGAAGGGCTTCCAAGAAGAGGGAAAAGGAAAGGCACTTCCCAGCACCCCCGGCAGACTGGCACGGCACGCAGCCCTGGAGGGCGGAGTGCCGTGTGTGCCCAGAACTGAACGTGCAGCCTGACCGGCAAGCGTGGGCAGCGGGAGTTCTTGAAAAGATTCTGGGAAGTCAGGCAAAAGCCAGATGATGAAGAGCCTCGTGAGTTGTCATTTCTCCCAGGGACAATGAAACCAACAGTTAGAAGAAACCAAAGTGAAAGCAGTAAAACCAATTGGGACAACATCCCAGAACAGCCACGCGATGTTGACCACCAGGTGGAGCCTGTGCATGGTAAGGTGCAAGGGGGAAACCTGGTTCAAAGGCATGCGACCAAAAGGAAAAAGCCAGTTACAAAGCAAGAGGTAGAAAAACATGACAACATGTACACACTGATCACAACATTCAAATCTTAGATCTTTAACTCAAATAAGTGCGGAGAAACACATCACTCAGTTACAAATGCATGCTCCATACACCCCCCAGTCTGTCCTGGTCACCATAAAGGTCCTTTTTTTTTTTTTTTTTTAAATCAAGTATTAGACCCCCCTTTCCTGGGAGGCAGCGAGGCATCCGTGAGCGGCAGTTGGCACATCCGGCCCAGCTCTGATCTCCCGCTCCACTGAGCGTTTTCTCTATCCCATCGCTCCTGGGAGTGAGAAAAAGAAAGGGTAAGAGCAGGGAGAGGGCAGAGGGGCTGCCTTGGAATGGCCAGCAGGTCCCTGGAGGAAGTGGCCCGCCCACCCGGTCGTTCCCCCTCCCTGCCGCCAGAGGCCCTGCGTTCCCAACACTGTATGAAACACTTCCGGTACAAAAAGTTGAAAGAATTGCACAGCGAAAACATGTATCCATCACCTACGTTTTATAATTCTTAAATTTTGCCCTTTTTCAGACAGGTTGTTTCTGAGACCAAAGAATTGCTCAGCTACACTGAGGAGTTACAAGGTAGGTAGTGGCCATGTTTAGGCTTAGAACGATGTCTGTTTTCCAAGCCACCCATCTGCCCGCAAATGGAGATGTGGTCCAACAAGGACAACAAGAAAAGAAGGTGTTTGTGTGAAAAACCACTTGAAGGTGTAACAATTAAATCCCTTTTAGACGTCCCGGTTTCCCATCACGGCCGGGTCACATGGTGGTGATGCTGACAGAGCCCACTGGTGGCTCTTGGGCTGTCGGCATAGCCAAGAAGCAGAAGTGCTCAGTGCTGCATAGGCATTAACAAGACGCATGAGAAAGGAACAAGTGGCCTTTTGTTGGAAGTTTCCATCAGTGTTTGAAGCCCTTGGAGCTAAATTTGGACGAAAACATCATGTTGGACGTATGAGCCCCAAAAAGAATATTTTTAGATATTTAAAATAGGACTAAAATTTTCAAAAAGTATTTTTAAAATCATGGTCTTACATGAAGAAACTGAAGCTTAGAATGGTTAAGGGATATGCTCAAGGTCACAGAAGCATATGGAGACAGAACTGGGACTGAACCCTTGGCCTCTAACGGGGGGCCCTACATCTATTTCCCCTTGTTAAGAAAGGGGATAGTTTACTGCTCTTCAAATAGAGTTAGGAATAAAGAACAAGAGAGTTCTAAGTAAATATAGAACTTGAGCCCTGGCTAGTGTGGCTCAGTGGATTGCGTGCCGGCCTGCAAACCAAACGGTCACCAGTTCAATTCCCAGTCAGGGCACATGCCTGGGTTGCAGGCCAGGTCCCCAGCAGGGGGTGCACGAAATGCAACCACACATTGATGTTTCTCTCTCTCCTCTCTTTCTCCCTTTCGTCCCCTCTCTATAAATAAATAAATAAATGATTTTTTTTTTTTTTAAAAAGGAACTTGAATGACTTAAAACAAGGTTTAAATATTAGTCCTTTGTCTCCAAGGGAAGAAGCTGCAGAAGAACATGAGCAACGTACTTCATTCTTCCCTCAGTGGAACAGCTCAGACCCTCTAGAATTGCGTTGTATCTTTCTGGGATCTCACACTAGATCTAACCATATCCTTTCATTATAAAAGTAGGAACACAATCTCAAGGGAAATGATCTTAACCCAAGGCTGAATTTAGCATGTTCTCTGGATCCTGATGAGCCCACAGAGGAAAAGCATCACAAAAGCAAAAACCTCAGTACCTGAAACAGGATCTGATTTATTTGTTCCTTTTGACAAATATTTACATAGACTGTAACTCTGTGCCAGGCCCTCTTTTAAGGGCTTTATAATTATTAACTCATTTAATCCTAGAAGATGCCTGTCAGTTAACGTTGACTCTAGGAGCCCATTGGACACATATCCTGAGGGCTGGCCACTGAAAGGGGGAACATATAGGTGCCTAGAAATCTGTATTAGTTTCCCGTGGATGCTGTAACAAATGATCACACGCTTGGTGGTTTAAAACAACAAATTTGTTCTCTCCCAATTCCCGAGGCAAGAAGCCCAGTCAGTTTCACTGGGCCAAGATCAAGGTGTCGGCAGGGCCACACATCCTTCAGAGGCCCAAGTGGAACCTATCCCTCGCCTCGTCCAGCTTTCGGTGGCTGCTGCCATTCTTTGGCTTGCAGCCACGTCAATTGCTCATCCATCTCCATAGCACCACCTCCTGGACATTTGTGACGGCACTTAGCACTCACTGGATAATCCAGGATAATCCGGTGGTCTCAAGATTCTTAACATAATCACACCTGTAAAGGCCTTTTTTCAAAATAAGGTTAACATTTACAAATCCTAGAGATTACATCTTTGGCCCAGCTATCTTGGGGCATTGGAGGGGTCTATTTTTCAACCTACCACACAATCATTGGGCTAATAGCCCCCTCAGCACACACAAATACACACCCTCCCGCATCTGAGCAGGACTCTCCTGTGAGGTCACAGGGAGGCAGATTCCAGGACCCTTCAAAGAGCCCTCTGAAAGTACCTCGCAACACAGACCCTGTCCCTAGGACTGTGGGAGCAGACAGGCCTGGATGTGAACGACAGAGATCCTGCATCAGCTGGGACTGGATTCCATGTAACACGTAACATTCCCTTGCAACATGTAAAGATGCTGTTCAAACTCTTCCCATGTTTTCCAGAAACCACCTTGCTGGGATGGGACACTTTGGGCAGGGACACCCCAAGGCCAACACCTGCTCTAGAACTGAGCATTCACCACCTGGCTCCAGCCTTCATTTGCCTTCAAGGTCAGTATCGGCCTCAGGTATATTCTGCAAGCCAGTAGGTCTTGTCTTTCCCCCAGCAGGCACTTCCTGGGCTGATTTTACACCTGGCTCCCTCTTAGCTGTCCTGCCCTTGCATGCCCTTTGTGCCGATTTCTAAACCCACTTTTAGAAAGGACTGCAACTTATTGTGTTGTGTGAATTTTTACAAAGCAGCCTTAAATAGTTTTTGGAACAAAAGTGCCATATAAATCCCATCGACCCATTTAAAGTAATAACTGCACAAGCAGGCGCCCTGGAGAGCCGCCTGCCCTGCAGGGCGCTCGTCCGTTCTTTCTCCAGCATCGGGGGCAGGTGAGGTCAGCTTCCAGGTCTCCTGTGGGGCTTCTTCCCATCAAGGCTACTGTGGTCTGAGCGCCTGAGCCTGCATAGATTAGTGACCAATAACACCATCATTAGGGTGTGTCTACTAGAAACTCGCTGAGAGAAGTCATGTTGGGTATGGCGACCGCAGGCACATTGAGTGGAACTTGTCTTCCCTAGCGTTTCTGCCAGAAAGGCAACGGGGACCAGCCCCACAGAGGTCCAGCGTCCCTGGGGGTGCTGCTGGCTGCCGCCTGCTGGTGAGAAACAGAAACTGCAAGCTGAGCCTGCTGGGGCGCACCCTCCTCACCCCTAACCTGACCTCCATCCCATTCCTGAGGCGTCCCTGCTTACAGACACACCAGAGAAGCGGGCGCAGTGACCAGCCTGCCCTTGAACCTCAGGTCACTGTGCCTTTCCTATCACGGTGCTGCTCTTGGGAATTTCATAGGAGCTTCCTTGTCTCCAACCCCCAATCATATTATGGAAACCATCTTAAATGGTCTCTTTCACTCCTCCCCCCCGAGCCCCACTCTGGCATCTTATCACCCTGGTGACAGGAGAAAGAGAATGAAGGCTAAGGCGCTCTCTTCCCAAAGTTCAGAACAGAGCTGCACCCTCGTAAGGGAACTGGGACATGTTCAAAGGCTGTATGGGGACCGTGGCTTTAACCATGTCTATTTCTTCAATCCTCATGCGAGGCTATGTTTTGATTTTAAAGAGAGGAAGACAGAGAAAGAGAGAAACACTGATCAGTTGCCTCCAGTAACTGTCCCGACCAGGGATTGAACCAACCACCTTTTGGTGTACGGGACGACGCTCCAACCAACAGAGACACCCAGCCAGGGCTAACCCTGTCTATTTCTAACGCAAATGCTCCTCCCACCAAAATCAGCCTTCCCAGAAACAGCGGTTTCCGTGTCCCTGGGGCCCCGTTCCCACCCATCACTCATTTTCATCAGAGCTTCTCTGTCGTGGAGACAAAATGGGAAGTGGGGAGAGGGTCCTGGAGCGTCTGCCCGAGGTTGGCAGAAATAATTATCCTGTTGGCACAGCCTGTCCTCTCCTCTCTCAGGCATCTGCCTCTCTGGGGCTGTAACTCTAGGGCAATAATTCTGCCTTCCAATCGCCGCATGCCTTTATTTTCCTAATACTGCTTTGTTAGTGTATTTGATAGAGGTTTCAGTCGACGTTCTGTAGTCACTAAGCTTGCTTGTGCTAGTCCCTTAGGGGGTCGTGAAAACCAGATAGGAAACTGGGTATCTGGGGACCTGTCCTCACCTGACCGGTGGCCAGAGAAATGAAGAGAAAGGTCATGCACTCTTACCACAGTTGGTTAGAACAGAGGCAAAAAGCGGGCTTTTGACACTTTCTCCAAAGCCCACACACTCCCGTAGCATTTCCACCCAGGAAACTGGTACAGCAGGTGACAGCTGTCCTTCAGGCGTAGCCTCCAATGACATCTGCTGACATAAGCCCTATCTCCTCCATACAGAAGGGGCTCAGATGCGAATCCCTGAACCAACAGTACAATCTTTCACAAGGACAAGAAGATGGTCATGCTTGGGTGTGACAACGAGTAGTTTTTTTTTAGAGAAAAGAGGAAACTGAATAGCCAACTCGCCTACAGGGAAGTGATGCTGGTGGCCGTGGAGCCTTGTTACCCTTACAATTGGCAGATATTTATAATCACAGGCTCTGAACAAAGTCGGGCCTGTGCACACAGAAGTCCGACCAAGATCCAGTTGAAAGATGCCACACGATAAATGACTAAATAAAACGCTGCGCTGTGGATCCGACATTATCCCAGCACCTGCTTGTGCCTTAAATGCAGAGAGTGCACAACTACATCTGAGATGCCAGCTCTGCTGTCCTCGAGCCATGACCTTAAGCAGGTCACTTCACCTGTGCTCCATCAGAGAAGTAAAAATGTTTTAGGGAAGCACACAGCACTACACGACAAAGTCTTTGGAGACCTTGTTTACGGTGTTCCATCTGCCTTCACTTTTTTCTTCACAAAGACCTTACCCTTCAAGCCAGCTCACAGGTTGTCTCCGCCCACATTCCGCAACAAGTATGTGTTGCGTCCCCTTCAAAGCCCATGGCACCTCCTTGAGTAGTAACCCCACGTGTTAGGTGTTCGGGGAACTGTCCCATCTGCCGGTGCTCTTCACGCGATTCATCGTGTTCTCAGTCCCTGGCTCAGCGGGACCCAGGGAGAGCAAAGTGTTACTTGAATGAATGATATCACTGTAGATTAGGAACAAAAGCAAGGAGTCAGGCTGGTTAAGTGACTATTAGAAAGCTAAAGGAGCTTTTCTTAAACTTCCTTGCATGTTGTCAGAGTGGAACACGGTTTCTTCCACCTTCACCAGCTAACGTTGGACACTTTACCATCTACCCGGCGCTCTGCTGGCCACTGAGGGGCAAGACACTCTCCGAACCTGCAGGTGACGACTGATGCCAGGTGGCAAGAAGGGATGCCTGCTGAATTTATTTTCCAATCACCTGGGGGACCGCTGCAAGGAGTGCAGTTTAGAAAACATTTTATGATTTGGTAAATTTTGTTATCCCTTGCCAAGCTGTATTTACAATAGTACATTACACTTGGTGTAAGAGAAAGTTTGAGGTTATTTACATACCGGGTCCAGTAGAAGCAAGGCTTGCTTGATTGTGGTTGGTAGGGTATGTGAATGTCTTGCACAAGACGAACAGCAATTTGAACATTTCACCTAAAATGTCACACAGTGTGCTTGAGTGTGATATTGTTATGTTGCAGAATCACACGGTTATGATGTTGGAATCAAAGATTTTTGTAATAACACAGGGGCATTATTTACTCTGTATAGTATCTCAAGTGGAGCACTGAGGTCTGTGGTGGTTTGTGTACACGTGGCAACTCCTCCACTGGACAAGGCCTGCGTTTGCCCTTCCTAACAGTAAGGGCAAGGCCCTCGCATGCCTTCATCCCTCCACTTCTGACCCTGATAAGAACATCCCGCAGCAGCGAGATGAGCTCTCCCTATGAATCGCGGTGCTTCCAGAAGAGCCAGGGGCAGCAGACCAGGGGGAGCCGACGCTGAACCAGAGGGCCCGCTGGCCCGAGCCAGTGGCAAGCTCAGCACCCAGCAGTGGCGCGCCCGCTCTCAGAGGCCTGGGTCTCGCAGCCATGCTGAGGGGCCGGGGGGCCAGGCGTTCTCTCGTGCTGTGAGACACAGCAGCCCTCAGAACAGCAGTATTGGCACCGGGCTGACGGAAAGCCATGCTTCTTGAACTTGGTGCACAACACTCATCGCCTGCATCTTAAAGATGCAAGGCCTGAGTCAGCAGGCCCGGGAGGGGCAGAAGACAGTGTCTCTGCAACACGTTTCCCATGCTGCGTGCTCCATGGACCCCATTTGGAACACCAGACCTACTCTAGATCTGTAACTGTCCACTTGCCCAGGCCTCAACTCCTTCCTAAGGAAATCGGAATGAGGTCATTATTTTTCTGAAGGACCCCCAAGTGCTTCTGCTGTGGTCGGGGTCGAGGACAGCCAACCTCGAGTTCAACTCAGAGTTAAGCAGGGACCCGGCCTCAAAGGGACAGACTTCCCCTGGTTTGACAGTTTCACCTTCTCCTCGCCACTGGACAGTATGTCACACGCTGAAGCCATCCCTCATTTAGTACTACTTTCAACACAGGAAATGAGCAGGAACGAGCTTCCTTCTCTGTACCTCACCCCAGTTCCTGGCACCGGGTCGCGTACACAACAGGCTGTCAGCAAGCCAGTTCATGAGGATGAGTTTTACTTCCTTTCCCTGACCCAGAAGAGGCGCTATGAAGCAATTATCGCACCAAAAGGAAGAAGAGGAGCGAGGGGTCTGGAGTATTCAAAGGCCGAACAGCCCCGAGGCCTCCCTGCCAACGGTCCACTGCGGATCCAACACTCGAAGAAGCCAACAGGGGGATAGAGCTTCTTTCAAATTCTTCATGTGCCACATGTAATTTTCTTTCTGTATTTGATTAGATTCAATGTATTCAAGCTATGAAAGTGGGTGATTCTGAATTCAGACCAAAAGAACACACGACCACAGACACAGAGTTCAACATTTTATCCTCGTTTTTTAAACTACAAAGTGAAAAGTGTTCATAAAGGATGTTAATAAATACATTAAGGCTGACGGTGATCGCTGTTCTGAGTGAAGAAAGGGGTTCGCTTTCTAACATACTAGTTAACATCCAGAATCTTTTAAACGAAACACGTTGGTCACACCGCAGCAGATGACACAGAACAGGAGCTTGCCCCGTTTTCCTCCCCCCCAGCTCAACATATCTTCATACTCTCTTCCCTCCTCCTATATCTGATGGGCAAGAATGATATCTATTTTGACAAGGTAAGAGAATGCAGTTGATTGGCATGACCTGAAACGTTTACTTTTCCAGTAAAAATCTTCCACTGAGTCACCCGGACAGTTAGTAACGAAGCTGACAAATAAATAAAGCTCCACCAGGAGGCTCAAAAAGCTCATAAACGGCAGAAAAGGCTGCCGATGGTACTGAGGAAGGGCGCATGAAATGTTAGTTTTGATACATTGCAGACTGGAGGCGAACCCCACAGCGGAGGTGCAGGCCGTCTGCGGCCTGTCGGAGTGACCAGCTAGAAGTCGTCTGGCAGGCAACACCATGAAGACCTTCTCTGGGATCCTCCTGTCTCATCCTGAGCCCCGGCAGGAGAGGCTCGGTACCAGGGTGGCCACGGTACCGCAGAACCTCGGCCATCAAAACACACTGTCGCCAGGCTCCATGGAGAGCTCCCTGCTCACACACCTGGCCGCACGGGTCCCACAGGCCTGGGGACCGCCCCCGGGAGAGGAGCAGAGGTGCCTCCTTGCAAGAGAAGCAAGTGCTGACAGTGTGTCCAGGAGTCAGTCGCCTCCCTCCGGGGACCCTCTAGATGGACTCCAGAATCCAGTCGCTGCTGGCGAGGGCAGAGGTGGGCAGGGACAGGTCCCTCGGGGGAGCTCGTTCCTGCCCCGCGTGGGGCGAGCTCTGCTCCTGAAAATACTCCTCCTCCTCATCGAAGAGGCCATTCTCCAGGGCGTAGGTGCAGTCGGCGCTGGCTGCAGCCTGGCACGCTCCCTTATATTCCTGAATGGACTCATAGAGGCTGTACAGCTGGCAGAGCAAGGACATGTCCAGCTGCCGCAGGCCGACCTTGAGGGAGGGGTGGGGAGGCAAAAACAAGAAGTCAGCACGGGAGTTTCACTTTAGCGGGACACTCAGCCCCGGTCTGCTTGAGCCAGCACATTCCTCCTGCGCGGCTGATGACTCGGGGCACCCGTGGACCCTTCAGGCTGCCCGTATTGACGCAACCTCGGTTGTGGGATGTCCACACCTCAGGCATCACTCCTCCGAGTGTCAGCAGAGTCGCGCCTGCGGGCAGGCCCTGGCCTGCAGAGGTTACCCAGCACGCCCTGCGATGCAACAGCATCACACTCTGGTGGCCCCAGCGGGTTTCACGTCGGATGCCGAGACACAAGGGTGTCCTGTCCTCATGCCAGGATCAGGTTCAGAGAAGACCCTGCTGCGACAGTCACTGTCAGCACCCTGGGGCAACGCCGTCCCCTTGCTGGGGACAGCGGCTCACCGGTCAGCGTCAGGCACTGCCCGCACGAGCACCCGCCCTCTGACCAGCTCAGCCTACAGGCTCTCAAGAGAAGGGGTCCAGTCCCTCAAGAGAAGGGACTGTCCCCCCCAAGACGGTGGTGGGACCCGTCCCCAGAGCAAGCGGCAGACTAAGCTGAGCAGGACGGAGGACGCGACGAGTCTCCTGGGAACTATTTTCACAAGTGGTGACAGAACAAAGAACATTGAAAAGGCACGTATCTGTTGATCTGCCGGCTCCCCCTTCCCCACAGCCTGCCCCACAAAAGAGCGCAGTCAGGACAGAAAATGCATTGTTTCCACCCACCCCCAAGAGGAGGGTTAAAATCCTCCTGGAAGCACACCTCAGCCAGCTCAGCGGACACTCCTCTGCACGTGAGGATCACCTGGCGATCTTGGGACCCACACAGGTGCAGGTTCAGTAAGTCTGGGGCCTCTGGTGACAGTGACCCTGAGCAACACAGCCGGGGAGAAACTTGAGACAAGATGCCAGCAGGCCCGCCTTCTCCTCCTGGCCCTTGGGCCTTCGCGATGACAACACAGGAAAATAATTTCTCTTACAGGCCTACTGGGAGGATTAAAGGAAATATCGGTTCACTGTAACAAGCAGCCATGAAGCGCGCCCCGCGCCAGAGGCCCGGACTGAAGCGCTGAAGAGGCAGGAACGCAGACTCGGGGAAACAGAGCGGTGGTGGAAGACCAGCCCTCCCGGTTCCCCAGCAAAGGAAGCTTCCACACAAGCCCGCCTGACTGCCGCCCAGGGAAGCTGGGGCCCTGGCAAGAAACGTTCATCTTGTGACGAGGGTGGGTGTTAAATTCCAGGTTCTTCGTCACCCCCGTCCGCCACTGGAAGCCACCAAGCAAACACTGTCCCTCCACCACCGCTGAACAGACCATAAACAAGGAACCAGGTCACACAGATTTAGCCTATTTTGCTAAGATGCTCAACGGAAGACTTCCAAAGAGAGGGGCAAGTTCTGCTGTTTCTGAGGAGATTCCCCATTATTCTAGAATTCTTTCTACCCTAGAATTCCTACGAGGAGCCTTTCTTGGGAAGGGACTGCCCCACAAGTTGGGGACAGGGCCTCCAGGCCCAGCTTTGTTCAGGCCCTGCTCTCAACCTGCTCGTAAATGAGGGATTTAGATAGCCTACGGCGGGCGAGCTCGAGCACTTTGGGACGAAGTGTGGTAAACCGCTGTTTCTTCCTTCTAAATGGACGGCAGGCCTCTGGGAGAGTTTCCCGAGCTGCTCCTAGAGGGCACACCTGGCTCCATGGCCCCTGCACCTTGAACCAGTAAGGCACAGGCACACCACGCGATGCCCAGGCTGCCACATGCCACGTCCCAGAGTCAGACACCATCACTCCGGTTCCCGAAGAGAGAGGGGGAGAGAGAGAGAGAGAGAGAATGTGTTGTGTGGATTGGAAAAGTGAGCCCCTGACATTTGTGTTTTAAAAATTACCCAGACAAGCCCTGGCTGGTGTGGTTCAGTGGATCGAGTACCGGTCTGCAAACCAAAGGGTTGCTGGTTCGATCCCCAGTCAGGGCACACGCCTGGGTTGCAGGCCAGGTCCCTGTAGAGGGCATATAAGAGGCAACCACACATGGATGTTTCTCTCCCTCTCTTTCTCCCTCCCTTCCACTCTCTAAAAATATATAAATATATTCTTTAAAAATAAATAAATAAAATACAGATTCATAAAATCGTAAAAAAAAAAATTACCCAGACAATTCTGATCTCCAATTCCAATGAAGAACCAGTGTGGACACAGGTATCTTGCCTGGGCCACTCACATTTAGTCCCCTGGAAGCGCTGAGGTGCGGCCGGCCAGGCAGCCGAGCAGGGAGAACGCAGGCTCTGGAGGCTGCCTGCCCGCGGTCAAACGCTGGCTCTGCCCCCACCCCCTCCCCCGGACAAACTGTCCAACTCCTACGAAGAGCAACAGCTGGTACTGTGAATTTTGTCATCCCTTCCCCTCTGCTGGCGCGTGGATCCTCGCCTCAGGAAGGGACGGCAGGGACGGGACGCGTTGGGCGCCAGGGCCCCGTGTGCTGCCACGTACCCCTCCCCCCTCTCCAACACCGAACACTGAGCGGGACCACCCGGCCCCCTGAGGCAAAGGCAGCCAGTGCAGTCGGACAAGATGGAAACTAACCAGCAACTCTGCTCTGTTGAGTGGCGACTGCAGACTCCCCAACAGGAAAGGACCTGGGATGTCTTAATTCAAACCCCCAAGAGGAGGCCTTCCAAACCAGTTCATTCATTTTCAAACAGATGTAATTATTCTTTATACAAAGTCAAAATCTGCCATCTACAGGTTCTACACACCCCAGATGCCAGGTATAACTGCTGCACATACAAATGTAATTTCTCTCTCTCTTAATTATCTTGAAGATAATTTTCATTGTATCCTTCCCCCCGCCCCTGAGAAAAACTGTTTGTCTTCTCTAGCATTAATATCCTCAGGTCCTCCTGCTGTTTGTGGGGACGTTCTGGTCCATCAACCACCTAGACTTTTCTTCTGGACTAACTCCAATTTTCCAAGAGTCCTCTACAGTTCTCAATCTGAAAACAATAACCAGCCACAAGATTCTGACTCAGCCTATCTTTTCTAGGATTTAATACAAGGAATATAAACTTTAATAACATAAGACACACCCTCCCAGAGGCACACCAATATCTGCTCAAAAAATCATAAAAGATTCATCTGGAATCGTGGAGATCGTTCTACTGAGTCACTCTGCTCCCCATAGATCGCGTGGGTGATCCAAGGCCGTTTCCCAAGGATGGAACAAGACACAAGCAGCAGCAAGCAACACGCCTCTTTGGACCTGACTTGACCTCCGCCTTCCTGGGCCTGGGCTCTGCAACCCTCGCCAGGTTTGGAGGCTCTGACTGCCCACGACACAGTACTGCCCCAAGGCTTTTCCCTCCAGTAGCTGCCATTTCCAAGGGGACCCAAGCCTAGGAGGATACCCCCAGGCCGGAGCAGGAAGCTGTCCTGAACCCTCTGCACTGCAGCGGCCGATGACTCACAAAGCCGCCTTGTCATCGGGCGGAACGCTGGCCTAGAAACTGAGGTCTGACCCGCCTAGGATACAGTGGCTCTGGAACACACCTCTTACCCAACAGACGCCCAGCACTTAGGCTGACTTAACAGGGCCCTGAACACACTCACAGGCGCGTACACGCCTACACACCACCCAGCTGCCCCTCTGCTTTCTTCAGGCACCACACTTTCTTGAGTTTACCGGAAGCCCTCCGAATGAGCTAGAAGGACGTGAGGAAGGTGGCTACATGAACAAACCTAGCCACCGAGCCAGGAAACGTCTGCCTCGGCTGTGGGCGTTTAAACACTTGCGCTTGAATTTTCTAGAGGGAAGCTGGACATCCCTAGGTGGCGCTCCATAATCCCTTCTCCCCTTCCGGCACCTCACACAACGGGTCAGGTCGAGGCCCCTCACCCAGACCATCCCCAGCATGTCCCCACCGCACCTGTTAAAGCCTCCTTGCTCACCTGGCCCAGCCACGATTGTTCCTCACGTTTCCCTCGCCTTCTCTGCCTGTCCGGGGGCACTTACTGTTCTCTGCCTCACACCACAGCTCACGCCGGGTTTCCTTCCTCTAATTCAGGACAAGCCTGTGATGCGGCAGCACCACCCGGCTTGGGCTCCCCCAGCTCCCAGCGCAGAGCCTGGCAGAGCAGACGCGAGGGGAAGCACCTGGGTGGAGAAGCCCAAGTCGCCCTCCTAGGGGACCTCTGGCTGCAGAAGCGGCGGTAGTGGGGTCAAGCTGGGCCAGCAGGACCTGCGCTGCGCCCCGTAGGCAGGCTCAGCGGCGGCAGGCTGGCCAGGCAGCCCTTTCTGCCCAGAGCACCCCAAGGTGGCCGAGAAGAGTCTCGCACGACGCGGTTTTCACCACATCATTGAAAACACACCCCTTGCCTGATGGGAGCAGAAGACACAAAACCCAGTCCCGTCCCGTCCCGTCCTCCCCTCCGCACCACAGGTGATGGAGAGGCGAGCTGTGTGCGCTGGGAGAGGCTTGAGACAGCCAGCCCACGAAGTCAGTCTCTCAGCACTAAGGAACGGGGTCCAGGGACGTGGGAAGGGGACTGAAGGGCCACCCGAGAACTAAAGTGCAGAATTATGTTTCAGGACACGATTAAATCCCCCATGAAAAGGAACTTCTCATCCTTTCAGAAAAATAGTTAGGGGGGGCACCCACTAACCCCCCTGCCACCGCCCCCAACCCACCAGCACAGAGAGCCAGTCGTCTCAGTGATGGGTCCCTACATGTCCCTGAAGGACGGCCGATCTCCTAATTCACAGCTGGATTCAGAAAACAAGCTCTTTCCTGAAAGCCCGCCCTGAAAAAAAATCCAGAGAGGCTCATGTAAGAAAAATCGGAATCCTAAGACCCTGGGATTTGGAGCCCTTCATCCTAGACCTTCAGGACAAGAACAGTCCGCTCATTTCCACGGCTTTACGCTGCCAGCACGATTCCTGCCTCCCTCTGTCCAGGCTTCCTGCTTCCTTCCTGTGCTTTT